TATTTATTATTTCTTTATTTATTTTCTGAATTTTTTTTATTTATTTATTTGCGGCATCTCTAGTGTGCTCACCTTGGTCTCTCCTTATCCCTTGGCACATTCTTGACCCCGTGGGGGGTAGGGAAATGCTGCCGAAAATTTCAAAAAAATAAATATTGTTTCCCTTCACATCTCTTTACTTATTTCTTTACTTATTTTTATTATTTATTTATTTTCTTATTTATTTTTATTTTCTCTCGAAATCTCGCTGTTTATTTATTTTTCTCCCATCTCCGCCCCCATATGCTTGCTATTTTACTTTCTTGCTTAGGTCACCGGTACCCTACCCTAGCCACTTAAACCTCGGTTAGGGTTTTCTTAGGTTTTTTGTAGGGTTTAGGGTTCCTCAAACCCCCCCTATTTCCCCGTCCTCTTCGGGCACCCTGGACCCGAACCACCCCTCCCCCTTTGACGACGCCCGTGCTAGCCTTGCTGGCACCGTTCGCTGCTTTCTACCGCGGACTTCCCCCTACGCCCTCCGCTCACGCGGACCTCTTCTGACCCCCTCCAGTCTGGTCCGTCATCTCCCCATGGCCGACGGTGCGTCACACGCCGCCGACACGGCGATGACCACGGCATCGGGCTCCACACCCGTGCTGGCGGAGCAGGGCCATCAGCCCCAGGGGGATCTACACACCCTCCTCACCTCCCTCCTTGCCCCCATCCAGGCGCAACTCGCGACCCTTGCGCCCATCCAGGCGCAACTCGCTATCCTCGCGCCCTTACAGGCGCAGGTGGCGACCCTTGCCGCCGGCATGCAGCAACTCTAGGACGCTGTGTGTCCGTCATCTCCTGGCTCCCAGTCAGGGTCCCCCGTCCTCCGACAGGGTGACCACGGCGGAGCTTCCTCCTCCGTTGCCCCTGACCCGGCCATCTTGGTGACTGTCCACGCCCCTAGCACGACRGCCGCCACGAGCCAGGCCCCCCCTCAGTCTACGGGCGCACCCGCCCAGATCTCGGTCACTACGGTCACGGTACAACAACCCGCTACCATGGTCTCAGATTTTCCGGGTGCCCCACTTCTTCCTCCCCTTCGCACGACCTCAACGCCACCTGGCTCTCCTCCCTCTGGGATGCCCCGCGCCGCTTGTGCGTCCACCCCCTCCACTCTTCCTCCTGCCACCCCTCGATCGACCTACATTCGAGGTCTCGCGGACGAGATTGCCCAACTCCGGGCCGACCTAGCCCTCTTACGCCTTCAGCCACCCCCACCCTCACAGGTGGCCGCGCCTTTGGGCGCACCCCCTACCTCCTCTACCCTTCCTCCCATGCAGGCTCGCTTTCCGCGCCCTGCACCCTATACAACTCCTTCCTACCTTCTTCCTACTCCCGCGGTTGCTGCGACCTCTTCTACCGCAGCACCCTCNCCGCGGTTGCTGCGACCTCTTCTACCGCAGCACCCTCGCAGCCTGCCGCTGTTGCCACCGCCGCTCCCCCATGCGGCCCGGACGCACAGTCAGCTGCGCCCCTTTCTCCAGGACCTGCGCCGACTTGCTCAGCCGTGGCACAGGCCTCCGCTCCTCGATCCCCTCGCCGCCAAAACGGTGGCGCACCACTCATCCGCTTGTCGGATATTGCCTTGTATGACGGTACAGGCACACACGTGTCTCGGTGGCTGCAGTCTGCCACCCGCACACTCCAGCTCATGGGCGCCACACCCGAGACGTGGGTGGGTCACCTCTCCACGCGTCTGCGTGGCGGCCCTTTCGAGGCATGGGAGGATTTCTATGCCTACTCCCTTCGTGAGGGTCGGACTCCGACCTTCGTGGATTTCCAGGCGTTCCTCGAGGATCGCTTCGGAGTCCGATACGACGTGACTGACGCCTTCAAGCGTGTCGTCACGACACGTTGGTCCGGCTCTGGTGGCGCTGCCGGCCTGGATCGCCACATCCAGGTCTTTCAGGACGCCCGCCTCGTTTGCGACGTGGCGTTCCTCCCCGGGGCTGCCCTTATCGATCGTTTCTTGGCCAGCCTTCTGCTCGAGTACCGCTCCGAGCTATGGCGGTATGAGTTCACATCGGCCCCACAGGCTTACGAGGCCGTCAGGGACCACCAGCGGATGCGAGCCCGTCTTCACCCCGCCTCCTCCTCCCAGCCCCAGCGTACGTGCTACGCCTCCTCCTCCTCTCACGGTACTTCCCAGCGCCGTTCCCCTTTCCGCGGTCGCCCCCGCCGTTCCACGCAGCAGGGTCGCCACTTCTCACGCCGCTTCAGCGCGCTGGAGTATGGTGAGCAGGACGCTGTTGCCCCACTGTCACCTGAGGGCGACCACAGCGACGACCTCGATCTCTGCGAGGCCGTCCACTATCACTTGGAGAACTCTACCCTCCCTGCAGCTGAGCGCCTTCAGCTCGCGCTCTCCACCCTCTCTCGAGCACGCAGCCACGCTGGCGCGTCGCCCCCCGAGGTCCCTCAGGAGAACCTCCCTCAGGGCTTCGTCCCTCCTCGTGGTGTCCTTTCCACTGAGGAGTGCACGACTATTCTGGGCCGGCGTGGGTGTTTGCGCTGCCGCTTGGACGGTCATACCTCCTCGCGACGCCCTTACACTACCGCCCTCGACCGCCACTACGCTGACCTTTCTCGTTTGCGTCGTGATCAGTCCCCCCCCGACGCCTCACGTCCCCGCGGCGCCTCCTAGCCATGGTGCAGTGTACACCTGCGCCCTCCTCAGTAGCCGGCTTCCTGACATCTCCGTCGAGGTTCGCCCCTCTCGCTACTGGAGCTGAGGTATCGCACGACTCGCCAGAGTGTACTCAGCCCTCTGTCGCAGTACCGTCTGCGCCTCCGCAGACCACCGTCTCCCCTCCTTCCCCGCCGCGACTACCGACGCGTTGAGCCATTCGCTCAGGCCGTTGTAGCGAGCAGCTCGCTACTCGCGAGGACGTTGTGTCCTCTCTTCTGCACTTGAGCATGATCCAGGTTCGTCAGGAGTGACTCACTCTCCATGTCGCAGCCCTGCGTCGCCTTCTCACCATCCTCTTTGACCCTGATCGCACCCTCCCGATCATCCCAGTACGATTGGGGACCTCCACGAGGGTGTACTCAGCGCTGTGGGATTCCGGTTCTCAGGGCGACTTCATTCACCCCCGTGTGGTGAAAGAAGCCCGCTTACCTACGACCAGGTCTCCGTCTCCCATCTTTGTCACCCTAGGGGATGACAAGACCCAGCGCTTCTTTGATCAGACGGTCACCGATCTCCCTTTCTTCCTCACCCTCGAGCCGACTGATCGTTCCCCGACGTCTCGTCGCCACCGCTCCTCTGCACATTTGGATGTGATGCAGACGGGGTATGACTTCATTCTCGGCACTCCGTGGTCTCGTCGGTTCCGCAGCACCGAGGCCGATTGGGCGACCAACACTCTTGTTCTCAAAACGAAGTGTGGACAGACGTATCGCGCACCTTTCATAGGTACCACTGCGATACCACACCCCGATCCTCCTCCCCCGGAGCCTTCAGTGCCCACACCATCTCCCTCTATCACTGTCACCTCGCCTCGGCAGTTTGCTCACTTCATCCGACAGGACGACGTCACCTTCTTTATGGTGAACGTGACGGATCTCTTACACTATGATCCACCCTGTCCCGACGCCGAGCTCATCCCTTTGGAGCCCGATCCTCCTTCTATCTCCATGACTCCCATCTCTACTTCCATCCCTCCGCCGTTCGTCGAGTCCACCCCGGCGTCGCGCGCTGACGTTGACCCTGAGGAACTCGCACGATATACGGCCGACTTGGAGCCCGCAGTTCGTGACCTCATCCGAGAGTACCACGACGTTTTCCCATCGTCGTTCTCGTACGCCGGCATCCCACCGATGAGTGACGTCGAACACTCCATTCAGCTTGTGCCTGACTATCGTGTTCACCACCAGGCACCCTACAGACTCTCGATCCCCGAGGCCACCGAACTCAAGCGTCAGCTTGAGGAGCTCCTTAGACTAGGTTTCATTAAACCTAGCAACTCCCCGTGGGGTGCACCCGTCCTCTTTGCTCGCAAAGCGGACGAAACTCTCCGTCTCTGCATCGACTATCGCGGTCTCAACCGCTACACGGTTAAGAACAGCTACCCCATGCCTCGTTCCGATGAGCTGTTCGACCGCCTAGCAGGCAACCGCTTCTTTACGAAGATTGATCTTCATAGCGGTTACCATCAGATCCGCGTCGCTGTAGCCGACCAGCCGAAGACCGCGTTCCGATCGCGATTCGGCCACTACGAGTTTACGGTGATGCCATTGGGCCTCACTAATGCTCCCGCTACCTTTCAGAGGGCGATGAACGACATCTTCAGGGACATCCTGGAGCAGTACGTTCTCGTCTACCTCGACGATATCCTGGTCTACAGTCGTACCCTTGAGGAGCACCTCAGACATCTCCGCAACGTCCTTGACCGCTTGCGCAGACATGGTTTCTACGCCAAGCTGAGCAAGTGCCGCTTTGCCCAGCAGAAAGTGAACTTCTTAGGACACTACGTGTCTGACCAGGGTCTCCACATGGACGACGCGAAGATCACTGCTATTGCGGAGCGGTCCGCTCCCACATCTGCCAAGCAGCTTCGCAGCTTCCTAGGCCTGACCAGCTACTACAGTAACTTCATCCGGGGATACGCTAGGTATTCCTACGTCCTTACCTCCACCCTCCTC